AATGCAAAATATAGATTTTTCTTGTGCTTTGATTTTTTTTTGATAGATGAATGATGAATCATAATTAAGAAAAGTTTCGATGCGTTTTGGTGAATGTTTTCTCATAAGTAGGTCAAATGTCGTTCGTTCTCCTGGATTTTTTTTACTCTGTTCTATTCAATCCACTGCTATCAATGGCAAAAATCTCATCAACGGTCCAAATGGAAAATAGTTGACGATGAGATAATTAAAGTCTATCTCGTTTTACTCAAAACTATTGATATTTTTTTTTTAAATGACGTTGAGTTTTGTATGATTTAAATATTTTTAATCAAAAAATGGTTGTTGAATGTAGTAGTTCTCAAATTGGTATGATGTTTTAACTCTTGCAACTTTTGCACTAAATTGAGTTGAATTTTTCTAACCAAAATCAGATCAGAAACCGTACTTTAAATCATAGCAAATTATGCACTTCATTCGTTTCTTTTTTGCTGGGATCTATATCACAACCGACAAGACAATGTAGTTTTTGACGATGTACAGACGGTTAATATTTTCATTCTACTCTTCATATGGATAATTTTTTAAATAAGTGTGTTTGCAGACACAATTTTAAGTATTATAAACCTGGATAATGAAGAAAGGAGGAAGATGTGAGAGAAAACGAAAAAACTACGTACATAATGGAGTTTGGAGTGGTTAAACCGCACATAGTACACAAAAAAAAATTAAGGAGCTATCTTTGCTCTCGAGTATTTTCTTTTTCGGATGGTATTACATTTTTTTTTCTCGAGCGCATGAAAATCAGAGCAGATATTTGTATTTAAAGTCCTGGTTAATGCTTTAGAATGCAATGCATACCCAGATTGCGGTAATCATACAATGCAAACAATGAAATGTATAAAAATATCTGTAACAAATCCAAAGTAATAAAATGGGCATTTTCATTTCTAATACATGCAAACATAATCGAATCGGCACAAAAGAATCATTCTTTCAAGGATACCGAAACCGATTTCTATTTTCGATTGTTATTAAGTTGAAACTTGTGTTTGGTGCCGCCTCACATTCGAAACAAAAAAAAACTGAAGCAAAAAAAAAATCAGATTATTTTTTACACAAACACATTGCGTTTTCATTTCAAGAATTAGACTCATCCTTTTCATTCTTCTGCTATCGATTTTCGTTTTTATTCTCTTCCTTCATGTGCCTTATTGCTGTGAATATTTAGATTGACAATTGAACTACAACGAGAAGAAAATGCAAGACGGATGGATCGTTGTGTTTGTAAGTAATTTGGGCTTAACGGGAATTATCTATGAAGGCAATAACAAATGAAAGTCTGCAGTGTAGCTTCTTTACTTTGTCTGTTTCGAAATTGATTCGATTTTTTTTTCGGCTTGCCACATATGATTTGAAAAGTAGAATTTACAATGTTATGAAATGTTAAAATAACATTTTTTTTTTGGCGGAGAAATACTTCAAATCGATAAATTCTATTACAATATACCGCACCGATGATGACGGCTAAATCCGTGCTAATACTATTTTTTTTGTTGGTTTTTCGCCGATTTTAAGTTTTTCATTCTTTTGAATCAAGAATATGAATGAACATTTTTATTTAAAAGTGCCGCCACAAATCCACACACCTTTTTTTCATATTGAATTTGAGCCAAATTGAAAAAATGCACTATATTTAATCAAAGGATTTTTGAACGATTCCTTTTTTTATTTTTCAATTAAGAAAATTTCTTTCGATCTCTCTCTACCTCCCTATCTCCCTCCCTCCCTCTCTTCCTCGCTCTGTCCGGCTCTGTCAGAGAGTGAAGCGTGCAAAAACCAAATTTAGTATTTTACTAAAAGTAAAATATTCTGCATTACTTTTGGGCAAAAATGTTGACAGGATTAGTGATTGAACCTGTAATATCGATAATTGCGTGCTACTTTTTCTTTGGGAAAATATTGTTTTTTTTTTTTGACTACTGTGTGCAATAGTGGTATGTGAAAATAATACTGAAGCGCACTAGTTTTCATCGTTAAAATGCTAAGTCAAAAAATTCAAAATTCCACAACAAAATCGTATCAAGTGATGTTAATCCAATACGCCTTAAGAAAAAAAGAAAGAACATATTTCTTACATTCAAGAAGTAAACGAAGAGGCTTAAAACAATGATGAAAACCAAGACAGAATAAAGCAAATGAATGAGAAATATATGAAATGACAATGCTTTTGGTTAATCCGTCAGGTAGCTTTCAATTGAAAAGAAAACCGTATTTCAATGACCCGTATCAGTATCTAAATATGTTTTCAGATATTTTTGTGAGATGATGCCAAGATTAACCAACTCAACATATTCATCATACATGGTGTATCAATGAGCTATCTTTGAACGAATTGAATTTCTCAAGGGCGGCATTCATTTTTTTTTAATCGTTCATTTCGTCTTTCTCAATTCATTAAAACAAAAATTCACTATATATGTTTCCATTTCCAATTCATGTCAACCAATGTTTCAGCAAACAATATGAGGTTGACAAAAAAAAAACGAAACAATAAAACCCGAAGGAGGAAAATAAAAGACACGAACCCACAACAGTACATAGACAACTGAAATGTTTGAACAAAAGGAAGAGGTAACTATTTTAATTTGGTTTTTGTCTTGAAATGAAGGTATTCTTGTGCAATACTACACGTGCGCAATCTTGGGCCATTCAATACGCATCATTTTCGATACACACTCGAAATAAAGATGGCTTAAACAGTAAAACAATCTCAGAAATTTTCGAATTTCAAAAGCACGAAACAAAATACGAACGAAATGGATGGCAAAACAAAGTGGACGATGATGGGCTTCAAACCAAAAATTTTGACATTTGTCAAAACTGTGGAAGAAAATCGACCAACACATTTTTTTATCATCATTTTTGGCTCTCATTCATATATACATATATGCTTATTAAGAAATAAAAAGAGAAACAATCCATTCGATACTCTGAACTAGGAGATAAATATCACATTGAATGTATCCGTCTGAAATATTTAATTACTACACATATTGGTATAGACAATTCCCATCAAAATTATATCAAAGACAACAAAAAAAAAACTAGAAATTGAAACAAAAAACAAAACCGAAAAGAATTAACTAACTTCGAATGAAATAAGATTGGTATTACACTTCAGCAGGTTCATTTTATTCTCATTTTGTTACCAAAAAAAGGTTGACACTTGACAATTCGGTATGAAACTTCATTTTATTTTTTGACATATTTTCATATAAACAAACAAAACCAAAAGTATCTCGTTGAAATGATTGATTCGTAAACAGTCGTTTAAAATGAATTCAGTCGAAAACACACCTAGTGTTTACCAAAAAAAAGACACAGGTATGGGTACAATCAGTCTAAACGTTGCTTAAATATATCGAGAAAATAAAAATACGAAAAGAATGAAGACAAGCTCGTGAAATGTGCACACATCAACGTGATTCCTTAAAAGCATCGTTGTGTGATCGGTATTCTAAGAACTGTTAGCATGACAGGCAGTGTGAAGTAAAACTCTTAAATTGGAATGTGCAGTAGCCCGACGCGATTTTACACAATGCCACATAATCGGTTCCTTTTTCACCAATTCTTTTTTTAAAACATTTCAATTAAAATGTAACGCATACGACTATTTTAACAAATCTTTTAAATAATGTTTCGTTTTATTTACATAATATTTATCGAGGTCAAAGCAGTCGAATGGCTAAATGCAATGATACCGATCTTAAATTTCGAAAGAACTTGTTTTTGCATTCGAGCACAAAATATGTTTTTAATCAATATAAAGAATTTGGATAACAGGCTCTCTCTCTCAAAACAGCCAATGAGGCAAACTCGACAAGGGGTCTGTATAAAATCACATTGATTGTAGACATCACATTTTGGCTGGCCAATCAATTGTCAAGTTCAAATGAAGCGAGAATAAAAATGTAAACAAGGAAACATAAAATCGTCTTTTGTGGCTTTTTTCGTTGGCCTCTCATACTTCTTTAATTTTCTCAACGTATGTATCTTATTTAAGTATATTGGCTCCTCGTTTGTTTCTTGGTAAATTATGACGTGCTGTGAAGCTCATTTCTTTCATCGAAATTCTGTACGAAAGCGAATGCGTTGCCAACGTTTGTGCCAACCATGAATTTATATAACTTGTGCCTGCATATCAGATCCAAAATTCATAGTTATTTTTTATCATTTTCAAACTGCAATTCATTGGTACTGAACATTTAGACATTCTATTTCATCTCATTTTGGTGTTGACATGTATTCGGTTTTAAAACCACAAGTTTAAATTCTATTCTACCATAAACGAATTTGACTGTTCTCGGTTGTTTTCATGGAATTTGAATCGAAATATAATAACAGAAACAATATTGGTTGATGGTAATGTCATTTGATGTCTTTAAATAGTTGCTTAATTAGATATTATCGATAAAATGCACACGACTAAACGGACACAAGCACAACCTCCCATGCAGCATGCCGACACGCATGGAATGCAAAAATAAAAATGATTCTGTCTCCAACGTCTCTACAATGTTTACTTGCTTCTCATTTTTATTTTTGGTTATCATTGAATACAATTTACACCACGTTGTGTGTGTGTGAGTTTTTAAACAGTCCAACTGCATTCATTTGTTTGGTGTTCAGTGTTTCAGTATAGTGAGTGCATATTTGTTCAATATTTCTATTTATTTCGTAATCAGTAACGGTTTTTTTCGGATAATGAACTGTTTTTTTATTTGAATGGGTGCCCAAATAAAATGTTCGAAAAAAAATATCATTACACTTTTTTAACTGCCGGTTTGAAATAGCTTTTTGTGGGTTACACCTTTTTTTTAACTTGAAAACACCGATACATGTAATTACTCAATATTTGCGGAGCATACATTTAGACGCGTAAAAATGATACACTTTGGAGTACTTTTGGAATAGTAACACATTAACGCATTATTAGTTTTTTTTTTTTAATTACAAACCTGGATGGATTTTATTTAATACGAAGGTCGTCGTTTCAAAACAAATCTTCTCGTCTAGTTTTATTCCTTATGTTGTTTGAATTCGTAATATTGCACAACCACTTTTTGTAACATCATTTTATTGATTCATTTTTTTTTTGCACAATGCTCTTGATTTTGTTGGCTCTTATCATTTGCATCCGCTCATAGAGAGTTGCGTTGAGCCAAACAATGACAAAGTCTGGAGACAAAAAAAAACAAATTGCATTCACAAAACTTATTCGCCGTATTCAAAGTTGACTTTGACCGATTGTATGCGTATCATTAATCCATTGACCGTGAACGCTGAAAAATATGCATATATTTTTATACTAAACACTTTTTTAAAACTGAATACACTTGTATATTTTACACGTTGAACAATCTGGAGTTCGAAGCAATGAATTTCAAAAATATATATATAAATATATCTATATTTTCAAAATCTAAAAAAAAAATCTTTTTTGGAAAGAACAATCCATTAGACTAAAAAAAATTATGAAAATTTGTACGTTGAACAAACAAATGGAAAAGCAAACAAAAATAATACTATGCATGGGATCTGCAACATATAGCGAATAAAAATGTACACGCAAGAATTACTCGCATCACTAAAGTCAAATTCGAAACACATGAAAACACGTAGTATATAGTGGTGATGGTTTTTCCTATATATAACTGTGTGTGTGTGTGATCGCCCTTTCTTTTCTCCTATCTCCTATCTCTGGCTGTATTCATTTCAACCATTCAAATTGTATTCGGTTTTAACCAATTCAAAGATATTTTTGCTGCGTTAGAGAAATATTCATGTTGGATGCCGTGTGTTAGCCCATTTTATTTAGCCGCTTCTTTTGCTCCGCCTTGAAAGCATACACGGTTTTTCCATTTCAAATTCGCTAGCTTCGGTTATATCTATTGTACCATTTGTTCTCTCTTTCGTACACATTTTAACTCTTGATTAAAAATTATTCGGCACTACTTTTTTTCCCAGCGCGCGCTATTTTTTTTCTCTTCTCATTTTTTGTAAGTTTTTTTTTTCATTTCATTGTTGTTCGCTTGCAGCAACAACAAATCGTGTGATACACATGCGAATACGATTTTATTGTGATTATAAACAACAGTTCAAAGCGGTTATTTTAAAACATACTTTGTATACGCATAATTCTATATTTTAGATGGATAAAACTATTTGGAAAATAATAATTTGTTTCCACCATAGTTGTGCATTGTGGCTCTAACTGATTTAATGAAATTTCCTAACATTTTAATTCAAAAAAGCGGCTAACAAAAACAAAATATCTCCAAAAAAAGCTAAAATAAAAGCAACATAGACGTGGTGTCGAAAAATAAAATCCTTTAAATCGAAAAACTCCATATTTTCAGCAAAATTACTTGAAATTCACTTGTGATGACAGAAATGATTTAATTTACCAGCACTTATTAGGCCATCTATTCACACTAAATTGTGAGACAAAAATAACATGTAAATCAATTGACCATTTGGCTGATTTGCACAATGCATTTATGAAATTTTAATCACACCAAATGAAGTTACATTATTGGATTTTTTTTTTGTGTGCTATAAATATCGACGTGTTCACAACGGTGTTAATCGCAGCAATCACTACATACGCGAAAGAACGAAAAAAAAACAAAACTAAACGCAGAAAAACACACAGAACAAACACAACTTACAAGATTCACTGCACATATACGTTTAATGCGATAGCGAATAAGGTGGTAACCAAATACTGATTCTCTTTCGATGCTCTACGTTACGGCAACGTTGATTTTCTCCTTTCTTTCACAATACGATACTACTGTATCTGTGAGCGAGCACATTCGGCAAGATGTAAAAATTACTACATGTGCACGCGTTGCGAATTGTGTGTATGGCCATGTACGGTCTGACAAACAACCTTTTTCTGTTACTTCCACAGCCAAAGCCACACGCACAAACAAACCAAGTGCGCTGACATAGAACCAATACAAAATACCATTTCACAATGATGTATTTTACGCCTTGTTCATTCTACCGTATCCACACACGATTTTTTGAAACAATAAAATCAATTCTGTTCACATTCTTTTACCGCCGCGAATTGTCTCATGAAATTAAGTCATAGTTTTCGTTTTTTTTATTTCGATTTTTTTCACAGATGGGCGCAAATTTGGATATTTCTATTGAATTCTTTTTTTAACACAACATTTCACATTACTCATATTTAATCAGACATAAACAGAGATGGTTGAATATAACAAGATTTTCTAAGTTGATTTTAACCCTTATAATATATTTTTTTGTAGTGTAAATTAATGCCTTTTTTATTTTTTATTTAAAAAAAACCGTTTCAAGATTATAAACAATTTGACTGTCTAATATATCTAATATATGACCCACTTTTGGTCTTTGTAAGATTCCTTCGACTTGCTAGGGGTTTTAAAAGTGAAGATTTTTTTTTGATTGAGAATTTTGCCAAAATTTTGAGGAAGACCATTGAATATATTTATAGGAGATTATGTTTTTATTCTGCCATTACTCAGCTATAATTGCTGAATAACATGATCTCCTATCGATATATTCAATATATATATCTCCGTCTGAAAATTTGAGCTTGAACATTACTCATGTGATAGTCGAAAATTTAGTATGATCAGTTTGGTCATTCTCTGACAAACCTGCGGATATGTAGACATGAATACTTTTTAGTACACATACTAGTGTGTGGGGGGGGGGGGGTGTTTTGATTTTCCAAAAACAAAAAATTCTCCAGCAAATCAGACAAATTTTCGTTTTTTTTTTTTGGAAGCCACTTTTTGAGGCGAAAATCCCTAGCAAATTGAAAGAATTTTCCTCAATTTTCTACATTGATGAGCTAAAAAAAAGGTCTTCACTTTTTGAATCAAAAACCCTAGCAAATTCGAATAAATTTCACGAAAAAAAACTCTCATCCAAATCACAGGGGGTAAACCCCCCTCCGCACATTACTGCACTAAAGGGTTAAATCCAAAAATAAAAATCATTTGATTTACTTTGTTTGAAAACAAAATGGAAAAGCAGCATTTATTGACATTGTATACGTCTTTGAAATTCAGCGTTCGTCTAATGTTTTATCTGAATTTTTTAAATATAGTTAGATATAATTGATGATTGATCATAGCCTTTCCAGTGCAATGCATTCTTTTGGATTGAATGTGTAAAAAACCAAAAATTCAAAAGAATTGTGGAAATTGGAAAATATCACATTTTCCAAGAGAGACGAAAAATCATTGAGAAAATGCTATCTATATTTCTTTAAAAGTTTGCTGTATAAAACATTGACAATTCCAATGAAAATTGCTGAAAACCAATGAAATATTAGAATTGGAATGTCAATCATTGCTTATTTGCGATGTTTAAGTATGCCGATGGAAAATATGCACAAGAGTTTAGTTGCATATCGATAGCAAAAGCGCAAACCCAAATCTATCGGCTATGCGTTGAATATTCAATTTTCTATTGAAATCCGAAGTATTTTTCGTTATTAATTTGTTGCCATCAAAATCCCATGCGACTGTGTCATGTTTACATTTTTATTTCGCATAGATTAACCAATGTTATGCATGTGCATGTGGCTTCTTGGTCCATATTAGCCATTCGCTGGGCATTGGTAAATGTTAAAACATATACATATCTTCGTTATAAAATGGAATTTTCAATATCTGTGCTGCAAAGCTTGTTTACATTTTTTTTCTTCTCACGCGCAGAATTTTCTTATTGTTGCGGCAAAAATGAAAATGTCATAGTCAAGCATAACCGCAGTCAGTTTTACAAATGACGACGATGTGTAATTCTTCGGGGAGCGTAATGTTAGGAAAAAAAGAAGAAGAAAAAAACGCACACACATACACACTTGGACACACGTACACATTTTATTTGCGTACCGTATTGACACAATGAAAATGGGCGGGCCCAAGCGATGAGATTTCACTCTCTCTCTCTCCGAGCGCGTGTGTGTGTGTGTGTGCATGGGTGCGTCAGTGAGTGTAAAATAAATAATGTGTATGTTCTTATTTTTTGGTATATTTAAGCGCCGTGTATCTGCATATGGATTGAGAGAAGGCGTCGCCAAAGCTGTTGTTTGATAGGTTGATCGTGTTTTGTCATTAATTTATACACAAATAATGTTTGTATGCCTGGAATTCGAGCGAAAGCGATATAGAGAGAGAGAGATTTTGAAACGGTATTCTTTGTACAGAAAAACCCGTGAGTTTATCGAGCTGACAGACATAAAATTCATGCTATTTGTACTATGTGTGAACTGTAAATTTCTGAACAACATTTTCCGAATACGCACAAATACAATCACCCAACAGTTGTAAAACGCACAAAAGCCTCATGATACGCATCGACAGAGAGGAAAAAAAGGCCGAAAATACAGTTGTTGATATATTTCGTTTTTTCTCTTAAAAATGATACCGATATAAACACACAAATATGGTTCATGTTCGTACATAATGTTTATAGTATCTATTCATTTTATGCGCAAATCCGAATCTCGATTTTTTTTTTATTTCTACACAATAAAAGAGTGGATTGATAGAATTGGCATGATAGAGAGAAACGGAGACGACATAACAAAGTCAAAACCATTTATTCGCCATTTACTCTTCAAGATATTTATTTTTATTTTTAGTTTTTTTTTCGCTCATTTTTCGTATGAACATATTCACACTCATGGGGAAAATATTAAAAGCATAAACAAACGTTCATAATTTTGCATAGGTCATTTGATTTTAAGTTTTTCGATCTTGTTTGGGACCATCTTCCAGCGTCGACGTTCTGGTTTTGTTTTTGTGTGTGCATTTGGGATATTTATGGATTTTGTTGTAAAACAATATTTTGATGTAAAACCAACAATTCGATGAAAAAACAAACTTTCAACATTAATCCGTTCTCTACCGAAAATGTTATGGTGAGTATTTCTTCTTTTAAAAGTTATTTAAAGTAAACACAAAACCTCAAAATAGAAAATAAATGTAAAGAATATATGAGTTTTATCTGATTTCAATATTTGTACATTTTAACTATAGACATTTAATATAAAATAATGGTATACATTCAACAAAAGTTTATATCAAAATAATAATAAATTGAAATGATGATCACAATTTGTAATTTACAAATTAAAAGTTAAATATAAAGCCAAAATAAAACTCGTCAGCATTTATGCCAAAGAAAGTATTATGAAGTGTATATTTATTTCGCCATTTTCAACTGAAAAAGAACAGAAAGAAATTGGCTTTAATTATGAAAATTAAAATTTCAGATAGAAATAATAAAAGGTCTTGAATATATCCCAACGTAAAATGGAAGCGTAAACCATAAAACATGTTTGCTTGAAGTTTTTTTTTATTTGTTGAATATGCAAAATTGAGGATACCTCGAAATCAACTCTGAATGAGAAGGGTTTGAATTATATACGTATACATAAAGACATAAATGTATATATATAGAATTTTTTTTGTTAATTTTCATCTATCCATTTTGCTTTCGATGCTCGGGATTTACTCTTTCTATTCGATTACCGCAATGGTTGAACATCATGTCAAAATATAAGTGCATCACCCTAATAATACTTACTATCTATGAAAATGTGTATTTACAAATCAATTTTGATTCAGTGTGTTTTTTTTTATTATTCTTCCTTCAGCTCATCATTCGTTACGTCTTGTTGTGTGTATGCGTGTTTGTGTGCATTGTGGTTGTGTGATAGGTTCGTTATTATAAAATATAAATGCACAATAACAAACCAAATATAACATACAGCAAATAGACAAAAACTCAAAACGGGCTATGTAAAGTGGTGAGTGTTTAAAGGCAGTTGAACAGCAGCAGCAACAACAACAACAAAAAACCGCATTCTCGTGTTTCATCACTTTATTATTGTAATTTCAAGCAGCTATTTATTTACGATCATATGGGTAATATTGAGCATCCAATCATTTTTGGTTATGCCAATCAATATGAATGTTGTTTATTTATTGATAGAATGCTTCTCGTGTCGAACTTGTACCGGTAAGCTGAATCTTATGATTCACAAAAAAATATGTGTTGTATATACTGGATCATTCATCGAAATACTTGTACATACCAAAACATGAATCCACATCATAAATCATACAATGTAGTCAAGCATGCGCTCTACTTAACACATCCCTGGACAAATGTCGATTTTACTTTGCAGATTTTGCTCTTTGTCACAATATTCTCTCTTTCTTTCGCTCTCTCTCTCTCTCTCTCTGTCGCTTTTTTCGGTTTCCTTTTTGTCAAAAGAGTACTTTCCGAATTTACTGGACATTAATGCACTTGTTTATGTGATCATTGTCACACATTTCGAGTGCACATTGGTGTTTGACATAAATGAGAAACTAGTCCTTCATAATTGATTGACCATCTTTCTAACAATGGTGATGTCTGGGGTGGGGTAATTCTCGATTTTTAAATTACCTTAGAATCGGCGAGTTTATTTTGATTCACCTTTATAATGTGCGCTATATGTTCGAAGAATTTAATTCGAAACAGTATAATTTTATCAGACACACACATAGTCATGCACAGTTGGTGGTATAAACGGCAATTTCGGAATTAAATCTATATAAAAAAAGACGATACTTTTTAATTTTCCAAAACACATAACAATGGTAATGCTTAGGTTTCTTTTCACATCTTCAAAGAATGCAGTAAATGTATACAGTAATTATCATTAGAGGCTGAATGCCGCAATACTCGAACAACAACAAATAAATACAATCTCTTTGCAAACTGGGTGAAAACAGTATATTCAATAGCCGGCATATATGGTACATTTCAACCGTATGCGGAACGGTGTCTCCTTCGATTACAAATGAATATGAAGAGATGAACAAGAGGACACGGTAGAAACAGATAGGTCGGAAGATGTAGTATCTTCTAAGAGAGATTATCCGAGAGTGGTTTTTTATCCTTTTATACCTAACCTATCTGTAAAAGCTTATTCCAATTTTGTTTTTTTTTTTCTGTTCTATTCACTCGAATTTACATTGTTTGGATCTTTTATTCGGTCTAACATAAAAGTACATACACAGCGACATCGGAATAATATTTTGCACATGGGCTTCTTTTTGCCCATTTCGCCACGTATTTTCTTTTCATTTACAGTGCGTGCGGGAATGAAACAATTTAAGAAATGAATGAAATAGGCAAAGAAACATTTCACTCATTGTTCTATGGTAGATATTTTAAATATTGTTTTTTCTTAAAGAATTTGTTGATAGTGCCAAGGGGAAGACCACTCTATTCATTGCATTCTCATTATTTGATCATTTAAAAGAAATGACACATTTCGATAAATATTTACTTCCTCTGTTTGGTCTAGGAAAACAATGTTCTTCTTTGCAAATGAATGTTCAACGTTATATAATATTCTATTCATTTTGCTGATGATTTTGCTACCGCATTGTACATTGTTATCAATGTTAACTGGCAGTAATTGAGAATTTTCGACACTCGGATATGCAAGTAAATATTTGTTTGAAACTTTTGCACATTTTTTCTTTCAGTTCAATAAAACTGTTATTTTTTTAGTTAAATTAATGCAAATTTGAAAACACCCTTCGTTGTTTTACTTATTTTCAAACTGTGAAGGAGGTACCTATTTCGAAATCTTGAATAGATTTGTTCAAACAACAAATCATTGTGAATATAAAATAGGCATTGTCTACTAGACAAACCATTGTAAATCTTTGGAAACAAACACGTTAGATCTAGATATTTTACCTTACTGCATGAAAACAAACTCAAATATGTAGAAAATGGCAAAAAAAACAACAACAGAGCATTCAGATGACATAGCAACGGAAAAAACGTTTGGTAAAATGTTTGCCGGATTCATGTGATTGCAAATATTACTCCAATATTCCGCTTTTGGAATGATAAAACAAACAAACGTTTAAATATAAAAACTTTGATTAATTTATAAGTTCGGTTTCATTTACCAATGAGTTTTGTGGCGACATCTCTAGTTCGGATATATAGCTTTTTTCGTACGTTTTGCCTACTTACAGGCAGTTGATTATTACTTAATTAAATCATATAAAATGTTTATTTCGTACAGAATTAAAATGTTTTACTTTGACTTGATTTCACAATGAGTCGAAAAATCAATTAAAAATTTTAAATTCTCTTACTTGAATGCATTTCGAGAAATCTATGTGTCTCATCTTCAGCATCACGACTAAGACGTTGGTATCAACATTGGCCAGTGCACAGCTCTTTACAAAACACGCACAAGAGATAACGGCGATAAAAATAAAAACACGTGGTAACAACAACAATTCACGCCGTTCAACAAAAAAAATTGATTCGTACAGAATATCAATGGTTTTTTTTAAATACACTCCAAATAAAGAAAATTTACTGCCTTTCAGATAATTTTAGTAATAAAATGAAAACAAACGAATGCAACGAAGAGAATTTACTTCGAACAAGTGTTTTAAACGACTCACAAAATTTCAATGACATCATACTCATTTCTTTCATTACAATTGTGTTAATTTCTGATTTTGCCGACTTATCAAAAATTGCATATGGATTTAATGCACCGATGCATGGAGGATTAAACACAGCACATGTTGTTTCTTTGTTTGTTTTTTCGCACGTTTAAGAAGCATTTAAACTAGAGCGTTGTTGTTATGAGGAAAAATGAATGAAGAATTGAAGATGGTTCATGTAAACATTTTATAGTATGATTTTTTGAATACCTTTTTTTATTAATGACTAGAGACAAAGTGAATTTGCTCCTTTAAAGCAAATACTTATTCGTCAAAATGTTTGTTTATATTTTGAGTATTTCTCGTGCTAAAGAATAATCAAAAAATTTAGGACGTTCAAAAGAAGAAAATTATTATCAATTGATAATCAGCTTTAAGCATAAAAGTTTGAATGTAAGTATGTGGATATAGATTTTAGCGCTACATGAAATGTAGAGCTATTGGATTTGTTTGTTTTTTTTTTTTCAATCAACAAAACTCCGAAACGTATTTCAACGAAACTTTAACAGTGAATGTTGATGTGTTAAGTCTCAGCTGGACCAGTCTTAGGTTGGACCAGTCCATCTTGGTCTACCTATTAAAAAGTGGGTTAAATTTGAAAGATTTTATTGCCAATTTTGGATTGCCGATTCAATTTTGTTCCGGGAACAATTTGATTTTGTTCCGGGAACAATTGGATTTTGTTCCGGGAACAATTGGATTTTGTTCCGGGAACAATTGGATTTTGTTCCGGGAACAATTCTTGATACTCTATTGGCGTTTGTTGATTTAAAATAACACACAAAAAGGAGTAAGTAACAAAAATGACACAATAAACGTTATTTTAATGTTTGAAATACGACTTTTTTTACATCAACGTACGGAGAAACACCAACTACTACATTTTATTGATTTGATGTAGCGAGCATATATCAACGGCACAGATATTCCGTCGATTTTTTTCTATTTGTGCTTTGCTTGAGTGGTATATTAACTATATTGGTCATATTAATTCGATAGATATACGTTTGATTTTTGAAAATTATACTTTTATTTTAATGAAATTAAAGTATTTCTAAATGGACTGAATGAACAATATCAATAACACATTTGAATCCCTTAGAATAAATCAACATTACTAGATAAATGTCTTCAAATGCGTTACTGAAAAAAGTCAGTCAGCAAAAGCGTTATAAAATATATGGACGATGTCACGCTTTTGTTGGCGAACTTTTTTATATAACGCGCCACATACAGTTTTTGACACTATTGCTGACGTACTTTTTTCTATGACGCATTTGAAGACATTTATCTAGTAATGCTGATTTATTCTAGGCGGTTCATTTGTTCATTTTTCAAGTCAATGGAAAATGGTTGTTTGTCTTGAGAACAATATTTTTTTCAAATGAAATGATGACAATGGCGCCATCTAGATGTCGTTCAAATATATAACTCCAAGACTTTTTTCTACTAAAGGGCGAAACATATATGATATGTATAGTTGACAACTGTGTGTGCATGGATAATTTATGTTATTTTAATCTTACCTTGATGTATTCTAGTTCAACGGAATAAATGTTTTTCCATTTATTTCATAAAGAAAGAATCGAAAAACGACATGCGAAGACGAATGTGTGCGTTTTTGTTTTCAATGTTGCTTTATTAATACAATTTGTGGCAAATGACTTTCAAATTCTGTATCTTTCAATTCACTTCAATTGAAAACAAACACTCTTTTTATTATATCAAACATAAATTTAATTTCGTTTTTAAACAAGACATTGAACATTTGTCCATTTAATAGACATAATAACTCTATCGTCCTACTTTCAAAGGTCGGACGTATCTTTAGTGTGAATTCTTTGTTGTTTTTTTTTCTTTCTTTCTTTTTATGTGTTTGAGCCAAGAACAATCTACTGCTTAAATTTGATTCTCGAATATTTTCAATTTAAGTGAGTGTCTAACTGTCTATATAGTTTTTTTTTAATAAATAAGTTTTACGTTCGATAAAAAATTGATTTCAATTGTTTCTCTTTATGTACAATGCATTCTCCACTTCATTTAAATCCCAAATCGGGATAGGCAATTTGAACGTCAATTTAGATTTTATAAATTGTGTACACAAATAAAATAACAAAGCCAAAAAAAGAAATTGAACATTTGTGTATGTGTGTTTTTCCTTTCTATTTTTTTTTTTGATCGAAAATTTCTTCTTGTCGCTGTGAACATATGAATTTTCTATAAAATTCAAAACCTATCGATGGTATAAATGAAAGAACTTTCATTCTGATCCTTTTCGTTTTCAATGTAACTAAAAATTAAAACAAATTTACTCATAGCAATAGTCGGGGCTATGCCCCCTTTTCAGTGCGACACAACGTGACGTTTACTGGACCGTGTTTGTCGTTTCGGTTGTTGTACTTGATCATCGTCTTGGAATCGATGTCCACCTTTGGCACCATTTTGATCATGGTTTAAATTATGACGGGCACCAGCATTGCTGTTCGCATTGTTGAACGGTGTTTTTTGTGATAGCGCTGTGGCCGTTTGTACTGGCTTTGGTGGGTATGGGATTCGGAACAATTCAATGTCCAAATGATTACAAATTTCTAAACAAACCTATTGAAATCAGGAGAGAAAATAAAATATCCCACATTACAATCGATTATTACCAAATTGAATGCGAATTTAAAATAAATAAACTCACGCGTGAACAATAAATCAACAGCTCATATGTACAGAGCACTAGCGCAAGGCATAACACATAAATTTCTGGTACGAAATTATTGAAGTATTGATTCAAAAACAATAACAATGGACCTATGTGGCCATAATCTGTGTAACCCATTTCACTCTTTGTCATGTGAGCGATCTGAAAACGAAAAGAGAGAGAAATCGATATGAAAATTCAAAATGTAATGCACATAAGTTGACAATCTAAACAACTTACCACAAGTTTATTTGTAACTTTGGCGGCAACCATTCCAAATGTGATTATATATAATGAAGGGTATGTTTCAAAAAGTCTGTCAACAGACTTTTGTGAAATGATGAAAGCACTTAGCACAACTGTCAGCAATGGTATCACCGGTGAAATAACGCTCGTTCCCTACAGTTTTTTTTTTTATCGTAACATCGACAATTATTTTAAGAAAAATCAAATATTATTAATTGTTCTTTATATCTCAAGAAATATTGACACAGATAAATAAGGTAAGGACACAATATGAACAATTAGGAATGCAAATAACTATTTACAACATCATTAGTACATTTCATATCGACATATATATATTTAAAGAAAAATATATATAATTTTGGGACCAAACCAAAAGTGTAATTGAGGGTTAAAAAATTATTATTATTTTTCATGTATAAAAAAGTGGTAAAAAAATAAGCGCAATATTTAAAAAAATTAATCAATAACCATTAAAATAATAATAATTTTTATTTTTAAATGAAGAGTATTAAAATTGTTATTCGTTTGCATGCATGTAATTCAAAACAAGGAACAAACAAAACTTATTTGAGTATTGTTGTTGTTGTTGTTGTTTTAAATTGAATTTTTGGCAAATTCGAATATTAATTTGTTTTGATGCCAATAAGCAAAGAGGAATAATTTGTACCATACTACATTGAATTTAATTAAACAAAGAAATAAAATGATTTGCGTCTCGATCAAATTACGAATATACATGTTTGAGACTTAAGCATAAACGAAGACCCATTTTCAAATTCATTTAAATGTTCATTTTGCTATTGCATTCAATTTAGTGCGGTTAGCCACCATGAATGGAAGAAAATCATCCAAAATTGAATATATCCCATTGTATCCGTGTTTAAGAAAAAAATATATGCATTTTCTTGCCAATAATAAATTTATATTCTAGCATTCAAAACCTGAGTGGTGTGATCAAACCGAATAATTTTTGAACTCATTTCAGGGAACCAACAGATATTTACATAAAGTGATTAGTTTCCTCACCCAACGAAATTTTATTAAAAAAACAATTATTATTTGTTCATATCTCAAAATTAACATTTTCACATCATCTGTATGAAAAATCTTAAGCGAACGGTTAAATGAAAGGACAGTTGAACTGTTTTCCTTGCAGAAATCACAAGCTGATTTTTTTTTGTTAAATTATTCGTGTTAATTATTATGAAGCAAACGGTAAAAGGAAAATCATGATAAAAGATGTATATTTTGTGTACGTATTTGTGAATTAAATTGGAAAAACAAATAAATTAAAGGAAAACCAAAATGCAGAAGAATTTTTTTTGTAAAAAATGTAATATTTTTGTTTGGCTTACAGCAACTGTGGAGCCATTTTTGCCACTGCCACCAGTTATAAAAATGTGACTGAATGAGACGAGACTTTTCGAAAATCCAATTAGGAACGACACACACAAAATCATATTCCAACTTTGAAATAGAGGGATCTGTCAATTACCAAAAGTTATTCAATTAAGTTTTTTTTTTAGTTATTATGAAGATTGTGCTGAATAGTATAAAACGTCAAGATAGTACTCGATGATGTAGAGAGAAAAAGTATGTGTGTGTGTGTATGTGTGTGTGAGAGAGAGTGCGAAGTAACACGAGTAAGAAAATGATAAAAAATGAGGCAGGATCGGTTGTTCTCTTTAATCTTAAGTGGTGAGAGGTCCTCCTGTTGATAATCCAGACATTCGCATTCACAGCCAGCGAATCATATCATAGAAATGGTGCATTTTTTTTCATTTGTGTAATAAATTGTCTACTTTGTTTTTATACGTGAATATAGTTAAATCCATCCACATAAAATGTTATTATTTTTATGAAAAGAAAAATAAAAACTACATAAAATGATTGTGATTTATCAGCATTGTAGTCGAATATGTTGGATGAATGCTCATTTTTTCATAATATGATGAATTGATGTGAGAAATGCTTTTATTTCGTCACTAATCACAAATTTACTACAACCGAATTGGATAGAAGATAAACTAAGTAAACACAATGTCGGCTCTACAACCAACGAATGATATCATATTAAAACATTTCTAGAATACACAATAAAAAATTAGCGATAGAAATAATGAAATCAAAAACTAAACACATTTGTGTTAAATAAGACAGATTTAAATAGATTGGGACATAAATATACTGGGAATAAGTAAGAAGAATAGACAACGCTCAATGGTTAAACCAAAATAATGTTCAGTGACTGTTAACATTATTACTTTTAGAATCAACGTTTTGTTTTGTTTTTTATACATAAATCGTATTTAATTAGATTCTGACAAATAATTAGTTAGGGTGACTAAAGTCATGAACAGCATGCATTAGAGCAAACAAAAATTCAAAAAAATGAAAAAAAATAATGTGTTGAATATCGGAACGTGTTTCAGTTAAAAAGAAATATGTGCATAATACGTTATTATTTGTGGGCATTTGCAAATCGATATCACAAGGGAAGCAAAAAATCAATGACAGTTTGGAAAATTAAGAATCCGAAATTGAAATAAAATGTGTAATAGAAAGCCATAATGGCCTTGGCAATCATTGAATCGTCGATTCGCTTTGACGACTTTGAAAACATCAATTAAAAGTGTGTAAAAAAAAGCATTTTTCGAAATCTGTTTGCTTCAAAAATTTCTAACTAAGCTAATAGCGATGTAATTTGCGATTGAACTGCGAACTAATGAATGGTTTGTCTAATTGAACGAACTAATGATGTACCATAATGGTGGTTGAATCATCAGTCATTTTTTTTTATTAATAAAAACAAAAATAATAAGAAGAATGATGTATAGTGTTTAAATTGAAGTAAATTATTCACTGCATATAATTGCACAATCGATGTCCAAAAAAAGAATGTCTATTACAATGCTGCTGTCGTCTGCTGTATAGTTTAAATGTGTGTGCAATTTCAAAATTTTTTGCTTTCCTAATGTTTATATTGATAACTTGGTCCATGTTGAGCCGAAGAGCTCTTTTGAGCTGGTCGCTTTGAATGCATAATGCACAACAATGTTTTTAAAAGTATACACTCCTTTCATTTTCTTTAGTTAAACTTACAGCAACTGTAGAGCCATTTTTGCCAACGCCTCCAGCTAGGACAACACTAAAAATGCGTGTCAACGACCAGACACCGCAAACCACTGTTGCTACTGACATTGAATTCCATAGCTCAATTCCACCAAAAATCTAAATAAATACGTTTGATTTCCATATAATGTGTATCTTTGTTTTATAATTTTGTTTAATTCGACACTCTTCGATTATTGCCGTTTAATGCTATGCGGCTGATTGTTTGTCGTGGTTCATTTTCAAGAGAAACCAAAAAACAAACGAATGATACTGTGAAATTGGGTGAAGATGCTTTGCTACTCATTACTGCTTTTTGCGTGAAACAAATGAAAAAAAATTACGTGATTTCATGAATATTTTTTTTTCTACATCGACATCACACAATATGAGCAACGTATTTCAAAAAAAAAAAAACGATGAACGATCGAATTGATTTGATCGACTTTAACTCTCTCTTCTGTGTAAATTATAATTCGAATACTATCTCTTCTGTGTATATAAATTAGAGGGGGGGGAAAAAGTCAAAACTGAATAATAATTCAGATGTCGCATTTATACCTTGGCCATCCAAATACCCGGTCCAAAAACTGCTGATATCAGATGAATCATTATTATCATGCATTGTGCTTCTGTAACATCCACCTTTCCCAGTCTAAGTGTGCCCGATACATATGATTGCCAATGAGCACAATAAAACAAAGTCATCGCACTAAAACACTATTTTATCACAAACAATTGAAATCAAAATTCATATTATTTTCAATGAAATGAACTTGAATAGAAAGAGCAAAGTCATTGTAACTTACTTGGAAAAACATCCATTTTGGATAAAATCCCAATTGAGCTGATAAACATGCTGATAATGCAACAAAAATAGTTGATATTGAATCACAACCATGATCGAATAGTTCACCCAATGGACTCGATGAATTTGTCCGTCTCGCTTGTTTACCATCGATCGCATCCAAACTTTGGTAAATGAATAATCCTAATGCACAAAGAGCACATGCCCATCTGGGTGGTTCTGTTCGGCCATTTGGACTATAACTATAATTTTTCAATGAAAAAAATCAAATAAAATCACATTAAATGAATCTAATAAAAAGCCCATCACCACAATGAAATTCAATTGAAATTTAAACGTGTCACAACCACAATGAAATTTATTCAAAGTGTCAAAATTTCGTCGATGACTATTTCTATAGAACATTTTTTCAGAAAAGACGAATGAGAATCAAAACAAAACACTTTATGGTGCAAAAATAGCGATTCATACGCACAATTTTCAAAGCTCAACCACTCTCTGATGGAATGTCATGCAAGTGACTTTTCACGTTTGGTGAAATTTCATTATTGTAATTTTCTCAACGAAACGAAAAAAAAAGATTCATTGAATTAGACAAATATGTTCAATTTTCACTCTAGGTCGTTTACTATTTTAATGTGATACAATTCTCGATAAGGTCAATTCGATGTGACATTCTAAAATGTTAAACAATTGAATTAAAAAAAAAAACTCATGTACCAATGTAATTTTTCAATCACATTGATACATCGCACTTGTGAAGCGGCAACGAGTGATGATGTTTCGATGCGCAAATTATCAGACCATCGACATAAACTTGGTGAAATGATAATTTCACAACTTTTACTTACTAAACTAGTATTAATGTTGTAGCAATGTTGACGATCAGACCAACCAGTGTGATCAGATTTGGTGCCAGCCACATTGGTGTTTTTGATACAAGCCAACACCACCATGGATTCAATATTGGATCTAATAAACTACAACTGGTCATTGAGTATTTGTGTTCGGTCAGCCGTTTTAGCTGAGCAGGCACTAATAGTTTATTTTTGTTTGAAAATATATTCTTTAAATTCACCATTATTACTAGTTTCGCCTGACTTTAAACTTTGACTGTTTTGACTATATCGTATGTATAGTTGCGTGATTGTACAAGCGATAGTCGCGCCAATCGTACATGTCCTCACTACCATTAGATAGTCTAGTTTTTGACTTTTGAAATTTCTTTAGAGAAACACGCACACAATCAATACGTATAGACAGTTGTTGTCATTCGATCCCTATCGGTAGCTAGCCAGATAATGATTGCATAGCATTTGAATTTCATCGCTTTCGTTTATTTTTCAGAAATGACATTTTACAATTTTATTCAATATTTTGCCATTTAAATGCAAAGAAATGACAATGTTCATGATGCATTTTCATTTTTCCATCGCAAACAAATTGACAAACGTGTAATATCAAGCAATTCGTAAATGTTTGATTGTTTTGAATATGTATTAGCGCCATCTTTCTGAGTATATTTATCACATCTAAAGCGTTTCGATAAAAACTTTCCAAATATTGATGCATAATGAAAATAATTACGTATTTCATTGACATTTATTGTCATAAAATTGTTGTTCATTTTTCTAGAATTTTTTTTTCTACATATACAACGATACATAATTCATTCATACGCCGTATACAAATACAGTGACACATACGCTGAAATCGTATGCCACAAAGTTGAAAGATGAGATTAAATTGAAAATGACTAAGCCAACAACACTCATACTAATAACAACAACAATATCAACAACAATAAAGCAAACCGATGACAGATTCATACATACATAAATAACAATACATGTTATATCTACATTCATATACATACACTCATACACACGGCTGACATTCACAATGCATATATATGTATACATGTAGAGTGAAAAAAAAATTAAGATGGCGTACATTGCGTGTTGGTGATTTCAATTTCTGGACTAGCCGAGATATCACATACAAAAAATTTTGAGCGAATAAACAATACACGAGTGCGTATTGACATTTTAATTATTTTATTGAATTGATTTATTTTTTATCATTTGGTGCGTATATAGAGCTAAAATTATTTAAAATATGTATTTTGTTCAATTAGCAACGAAGAAAAGTTCAAATAAATATTTCATTCAAATGCATTTTGATAGAATTGAATCATTTGAGTAACAACTAAAAAAAAGTGAAGAAGAGACAAAGGAGAGAAGAGAGTAAAAAAAATCTCACAGTGAACACATTTAATTAAATTACAACATTTATCTAAAGTGGGAAAAAAAATTATCAAATATAAGCGAAATTCGATTGAAAATTACTACAAATACATATTTTAGAAGAGGTTGAATTAATTTTCCCCTTTTTAAAGTGCATACCAACCTGACTGGTGCAAAGTGTACAGAGATTTTTTTAGGGAAGCAAAATAGTCATCATGTTTAAAATCAAATCTCATGAATTAGATGAGAAAACACACAGTTGTATGGCTCATTAGTGATCTATCAATTAGGCAAATTCATAACTAACACACATTCATATTTCGGAATATTTATTTTTTTCTTTATTATTGAAAATAATCATTGTTTTTCGACATGAATAATAGACTGTAAACTTTCCAGACACTGTGTGTAATAGTGATGAAGCGTATGTTAATTAGTGTCACATCTCTTTTTTTTTAAATGTATTTAGACAAAAATACATACTCAGGATAAACCGGAGCTCAAGATCGGTGACGGAAACGATCACAAAACAACAAATTTGCTTCAAATACAAATCAAAGGTGAAATATTTTCTCAAATGTGTTTACTTTTTCAAAAAAAAGAGTTCGATTTCAAATCAGTTTCAATGAAATGAGATAAAAACCGTAACGTAATCTTTTTTTCTCGTTTTTCGCTTTTATTTTGTTGAATAGACGGCACACCAATTGACTGATAAGAGAAAAACAAATATCTATCGAAATGGAAGCAATAGCGAAGCACGATTTTAATGCAACGGCCGACGATGAACTTAGTTTTCGTAAAAATGCAATTTTGAAGGTAAACATAACAAAATCTAACTGAATTTTTTTGTGAAATAGTGCAACATTTATTTGCAAAGCAACTGCACAACATCTCTAGAAATGAAAAAAAAAATTAAAAATTATAATGAAAACATTTTTCGAAATGGAATTTTTTTTTGTTTGCTTTCTTGAAATCGATCAAATTACGATTTAAACAAACGATTTTTCTTTGAATTTAAAGATTCTCAATATGGAAGATGATATGAATTGGTATCGTGCCGAACTGGATGGTAGAGAAGGATTGATTCCGAGTAACTACATTGAAATGAAAACACACACGTAAGTATAGATTTATCACACAGTGTCATACATTCAATATAGTTTGATATTCCAACGTTCGGCAATTTAATTTAAAATGTGATATTGCACGTGTGTTACGATGCGACTGATTGATTTTTCTTAATTATTGAATTTATATTTGCAGTTGGTATTATGGTAGAATTACACGTGCCGATGCCGAGAAATTATTGTCAAATAAACACGAGGGTGCATTTTTAATACGAATTAGTGAATCCAGTCCAGGAGATTTTTCATTATCAGTAAAGTAAGTGGATTTAACCAGTTCGTTAATGAGTCTGCTCTAGTTTTAGGTTTTATTTTGTTGTGCGACAATTTATATATGGATCAGAATTTAGTGCTGTTCGACAATTTATAATTCGGACCAAAAGTAGAAAAAATTATTTTTTTGCGTCAGCACTAAATCGCCGTGACAATTTTTTTTTCTTCAAAAAAATCCAATTCGAAATACAAAAAATCCGCTTTTCTTCGACTTTGGACAATATGTGCCTGCAGGTTTGAAACGCACAAATTCAACTGAAGAGCAAAGATTTGGCACCAGATGCAGATATATAAATTGTCGTGGTACAAAATAAAAGGGATAGCAACGACATTTTTACAATTTTTTTTCTTCAAATGTAATTAGATGTTCTGATGGAGTGCAACATTTTAAAGTCCTACGAGATGCGCAGGGAAAATTTTTCTTATGGGTGGTAAAGTTTGGATCACTGAATGAACTTGTTGAATATCATCGTACGGCCAGTGTATCCCGCTCGCAAGATGTCAAACTCAAAGATATGGTACCAGAAGAAGTAAGACGATTTGTATTTAATGAAAATGCATTCACATTTAATCTAACGATTTCAATCGATTTGAATGTAGGTTTTGGTTCAAGCATTATATGATTTTGTGCCACAAGAATCCGGCGAATTAGATTTTCGACGGGGTGATGTAATCACAGTTACCGATCGATCTGACGAACACTGGTGGAATGGTGAAATCGGCAATCGAAAAGGTCTCTTCCCAGCGACATACGTGACTTCATACCATTCATAATAAACAACAACATACTATACTTAAAAACTATATGATACAACAATCAATCAATGAACAAAATGAACAACACAGCTTAATGAAATTATTTGAACAAACAAACAAAAAAAAACACGACAACAATGAGAATAGAGAGAGATACAGACAGAGAGAGAAAGAGAAAAAAACATCTATTTTGAAGCGTACTATAATAACTTGCCTATACTTAATTTGACGCGATTTTAAACATCAAGCATATTTTCTTTTATTAGTTTGTGTGATCGGTTGTATTTTTATGTTTGCGCTCCAAATTCAAATATCGTTTGAAATCAATTACGATACACCACTTTATTAGTCATATCAATTTGAGATAGCAAGCTTGAATCCAACCAATCGACATTATTATTATTATTATTTTGTTGCAAATTTTAATCCATTACGAATTATCGGATCAATTGATCCCATGAATCTCTGATTAAGTAATACTTGGATGGTTGGGAATATGCGATTCAATATTTACCTATAATATTTTAATTTATTTCTACATCCCATTTATTTTTGTATCAATCGTGTACATTTGCCCTGAAAATTTTCATCCCAGACAAATTTTGGAATGCATTTCGTAAAAACAGTATATACACGAACGACTTGTGATTTCAAGAGATTCAAAAACAAAAAAATTCAATACGATGGTAATATGACGAGCATAAGTGGTTTTTGGTTAATATTTTGATTTTTATTTTGAAAAAAAAAAGCAATGAATCGGTTGACATCCTAAATTCAAAAAGTATTTGGGTGGCAGATGTCACTTTTCTTTTTACAATTTTTCTTTTTACTTTTTAATATGACAATAAAAAAGCAAATCGCACAATTCATTTATTTTTTTTCGTAAATAAATTTAAACAAAAAAAATATATTCATGTGTTCGAACAATGGTGATTGTGAACAATGGTCACCACCACATCTTCGCAGACAAACGAAATAGTAATAATGCTTAGAAGAAAAAAAACGGAATCACAAGAATTTTTATAATTTTCTATAATAATTTTTGATAAAACTGAAATCGCGATAATAGTTATCACTCGACACCTGAAAATACCAAAATGCAATACATTACTGTGTGTTTTTCTTTTTTCATATGAAATTAATGATATATGTGTGTGTAACAAGAGAACAACAACAAAGAAAACAAAAAAATGACATAAATTGGAATATAGTTACAGAGAAAATACAATTACTAATCCTAGCTTTTCATGCTCGATTTTAGTTATTTATTTAGTACGCGCACATAAATAGGTAAAAAAAAACAAACAAACAACAACAAAATATGAAACATAAAACAAAATAAGTTATAGCTGTAGTTTTCTAAAGATGAACTATTTGAATACAATGATATTATACAATATAACATTAGTGGCGATGTTTAATTACTTCATTTATTTGAATGAGCATTTCGTTGTCGCGCGCAGAATTTACATTTACGAAACAGCGATACAACTGATTTAATTTTTACCATTGTTTTTTTTTTAAAGTCACGGTCCATTTTATAAGTAAGCGACAGATTCTTTTTATTTCTCGCATGGCATTTGTATACATTTCGTCAGCTTTATATTAAAAAAAAAGAAATCAAAATCACAATCATCTTCATTATTTATTTTTCTCCCTTTCCGATGCATTTAGCGTTGAAGCAATACATGCATGAAGCGTAATGTACAAAATTGATGATGAATTCGAGACGACCTTTTTTTTAAATGGAAATTTATGTTAAGAATTTTTTACGATTTCAGGAAAACTTCAACATTTAATAATATGGGACATCAACCAGAATCGGATAAAAAAGCGAAACAAAATCTTGAGCGATAATCGATTAAAGTCCAAGGTCATTTTGTATAAATGAAGCTGAAAAAAAATGGTGTTAAAACAAACAAGTTAAATTCGACAGGAGCATTTATTCAACAACAAATTTTACTCTCTCGGTGTTCAGTCATTACAACGAAACTTTGAATAAATCGCGCACTATATCTAATGGAAGTGCACTGATCGATTCAGTTCCACTTCTTAATTATTATTTAGTCATTTTGGAAAAAAACTAATATCTAATAGTTTGCATGTGAAATCAAAGAATTTTTCGCGCAAAACTTTGTCCTTGGCCAACGGATTAACCGGTACTCGAACGCAATTGCTCAAATAGGATCCACCTTTACCCTCAATTTTCGGTGAAATAGCAGCATAAACAATGGTTCGTGATCCTTCTTCGGTGTTCTAAAGAAAAAAGTGGTAAACGTTAATATTTGATTTGAAATTTAATATTAAGTCAATTAATTTACCTTGAAAAGCAGTTTTTTAAACCATGGAACATAAGTTGTGCTGGAGTGTACAAACAAATCGGTATCTACAACACCCGGATGAACGGCATGCACTTGAAGATGTAGGTCTTCGTCTTGATTGATAAGAAGTTGAAGATGTCGTGTGAATAGAACCTGAGCCAATTTACTTTGATTATAGGCATTGGGTGGATAATAGTCTTTTCTGTGGATAGAAAATAAAATCATTGCATTGAGAATATTCGGTTCGAAAATGGATTCGAATGAATAGCAACACTTACGTTCCATTAATATCATTCATATTGATTTCGCCCAGAATATTGGCACAGGATGATACATTTACCACACGTGAGTTCAGATCTTGTGTACCGGCCGCTTTCAATTGTGGCAATAATAAATGTGTCAACAAAAAATGACCCAGATAATTAACAGCGAATTGGCTCTCAAAACCATCTTCGGTGAGATAATATGGTGAGGCCATTATACCAGCATTATTGATAAGTATATCAATTTTGTTGAATTTTTGCTGAACAGATTTTGCAAATTGTCGCACCGACTTCAGATTTCCCGTATCCAAATATTCATAATAGATTTTAACTCCGTCCAATTCGGAAAAGTCGACACGCAATTCGATGTTTTTCTGAGCCTCTTTTGGATTTCGTACACCTAAAATTCATTCATTTAATTAGTATTTGGAGTGCTTTATCAAAGCATCAACGATCACGAAAGATTTCATTTTCTACACGTGTATAAGAAATCCGGTTTAGGTGACTTCTGACGTTTCCTTAAGAAAAAACTATCGTTTTTTTTGAAATCGAATCTATTTGATGATGCAAAATATCTAATGACACAATCGTCGATTGAAAGAGAATAACCTGTTTCCTTTTTATATCAAGTTTTCAATGCCATGGTATATTAATATTTGATTATTATCCATATCAATACAAAATAGATATACACAAGAAGACATACAAAAGATAGAACAAAAAAATATTGGCATGACCTTGAAATTGTTTGATAAATCCCTATTATTTCCAATTCATCAAAGTTTATATGGACTTTATACTAGTTGATAGACTGGCTCACTTGTTTTATTATAGAATTATGTCATTCTGTGGCTTGCACTTACCCATAATCACATTTATTTCACATTGTAATAATTTTTCAACTACATCAGCACCGATACCTCTGTTGCCACCAGTAATTACAGCTACACGGCCTGGCTGTTTGAATAGATCTGTAAACAAATCACAAGTTAACGGACGAACACTACGTATTAATTCAATCGAAAAAAATATTATTTCGCAATAGATTGCTTACCGACTCGATTATATTTCCGTAGATAATAATCTTCGATGAGCCCCCGCACGCCCAAATATTGCCACAAAATCTCTGAACGAAGTTGTTGCCAGTTCTTTGGCATCTCTTTGGACGATCTGCTTAGATAAAAAGCCAAAAAGCCAAGGCTGCTCAACACTACAAAAAACAGCATTTTTGCTGTTGTTCACAATCTTATTACCTGAAACAGATTATTCATGTTGAAAAAAAAAGAAGAAAAATACTTTCAATTTATTTATATAAAAAAAAATCTTGCTTTGATTTTAAATTCCGTTAAAATTCAGCAACGAATCAACATTGACTTGTTTATGATTGTTTTCTTGTTGGTAATAATTTACTTGTGTTGTTTCGCAATTGTACCGTTTGCATGCTTTTTGTTTGGATAACATATTCATTAACACGTCCCGTAATGGTGTTAGCTCAAAAGTATTTTGTTTATATTTTGGCAAACAAATTGATTTCAACATGCTTTGAGTTAACCCACTTTACGATTTAACACCAAATTGTTATTTTTTAAACTATCCCAAGAAATCATAATATTCTTTCACAATGCGATATGGCATGTTATTGTTTCTCTCTCAAAAAGGCGAATTTCAACATTTTTTTAAAGAAAATTAGTCAAACTTAATTCATTGTCAAATCTTACTTCCGACTTAATTTGAATATTGAATTTTTAATGAGTCCGACACTGTTTATATTCGAAATGAAGCAGATGAAATCAACAAAAACTGGCCATTTGGTGAAAATATTTTAATTTCAACATCAACGTTTCATGTTAAATGGCTTCTGTTACAGTGATGAAGGTGTGTTTCCAATACATTACATACACGAAAAAAAAGCATCACATCAACTTCTCTCTAATGAAAATCCATCTTCGATGGAGATCGACATATAAAAAAACTACATATGTTTTCAAAAACTAAAATAACTTTGAAGAAATCACAGCACAACTCAAATTAAGAAAATGTAAGAAAATAATTCAATGTAATTTGCTGGCAACTAAATGCTCTGCTCCAGTAATTTCATTTGATAATTGATGAATTTGCGTATAAAGATTATGATTTACTCTTCGATTTACCTTACACAACCGATGAATTTTGTTTTGATCACAGTGAAGACCAATGCGCGACTGCTTAACTTGATTTTTATTTTACAGGTTGTTGTACCGGTGAACACAACGAATATTGTTGTACACATAAACGCTGCTATTCACACGCAAACATACCATATCACGATCGTATACATGCATATGTATTTATAACTACACTCAAAAATTTATTTGGTCATGAAAAACACACTCCATATGTATATGATGGTCTTTTCTGATAGAGCATGATTTGTAATACCATCACGTATTGGAAATAAATGTACCAAATCGCATTTTCTATTAGACCGAAACAAAGAATACCTTCGGTATTTTGAGTCAGCAATTGAGGAAACACTATTGTCTTGCAACTATAATTAAACTTGAACGATTACCGACTTTCTCATTTATGAATGTTGTGTGGCTTTCGGTTTTTGGATTATTGTTTTTGTTGCTGAAGAAATTCTTTCATCTGACATTTACATTGATGATTTCTCTGTGTGTTGAATTCATCTTTCACATGATGCCGTTGCCCATTCCGAATATTAAAATTCACGAAATTAACCCATAAATACGAAACTTATATGGCAAAACTTGTTTCGATTTATCACTTGGAACCACTTAACCGGACTTTGATCACACAGCATCGTAATATATTTTATCACATCAATCAGCGTTTGAGTTTTTTTTCAACACAGATTGTCATTGAAATATGGACATAACCTCGACTTTCATTAAAACTTATATATTCTATATGCGATGAAAAGTATGTACTATAATTATGAATATGCTTTTGAGTATGGGAAGTAGATAGAATAATTATTTTTAAGGAATAATTTAATTCGGTACGCACAATTTATTGACGATAGGAATATTTTATTAGATTCAAACATACAATCATTTTAATTTGACTATATTAAGGTGATACCTATTTTTATGTAACGAAATCGAAAGTACGCGAAAATGTCGATGTAGAAATTAATTTAATTTTTTTGAAAAAATCTGACAAATTCGACAAATAACCACCGAATAAATACCATCTCATTTTATGTTTACATAAACATATTTGTCTAACGATCATTTTTCTAATAAGATCAATTTATTTGTAATAATAATTAATGCAATAAGATTTTAATAAAATGTCTTGCCAAAAATCAAATGATTTAAAAACAAACAAAAGATTTCTGAATTTAAGAAGAATTAGAACACCGTTTCCCTAATTATTTTGCATTTTAATTATCTTTTTAAATTTAAAATTTGGTAGCTGTGGTTCATAGCTCAGGTATTCACTTCGATTTCTTGAAAAGTTTTATAAATTGTTGCTATATTTGAAAAATTGATTCGAGTTAAAAGGTTTCAGCTGATTTTTGTAAGACCTTTGAATTGTTTTTAGCAAAAAATTTTGTCGGCGCCCTGAAGGCAAAAGTGCCCGAAATGGACGAAATATATCTGAAGATTTAAAAATGCACTAGATTTGTAAGATATTTTATTAAAATCCTATTAGATATAATAGCTTAACCATTATAATAACTGAATAATTAAATTAATAAAACAACGAAAGTTTCTAACTGCTGCGGCTGTTTAAAATAAGAGTTTCTTTTTTTGAGGTGTCATATATTTCCCTTAAATTAATAGCACATATTTAATGTGGATTTTTTTTGTTATTGAAAAATTCATAGTCAATTAAATTGACTAAATGATGCGTCTAAATTTGGGTACAATTTCAGCTTTGTTGATACATTTTATGCATTGAAGTTTATTTTTAAAAAAAATCGGATTTGATATCACCAATGCCATCTTCAGTCTAATAGATTAAATCTAATAAATTAAAGCAATAATTGCGGATCATATCATGTGTATGCCATTATATGTGAAATGTGTAATTGAAACTTTCAGTTGATACATATTTTGAATATCATATTTTGTGAATATTCAATAGGTGCGATACAAATGACATCGATTTGTGTGGGGTGTTGTGATATAGTGTTTGATATGTGATAGGCGTCCTAACCAAATCCGATGTTGAAATCTAAGAAAGTTCGATTTTTTTTCGTTTTTTTTAATGAAATTTTGTGAACATTTTTCTCTACTCATACTTGAAAGTACTTTGTATGTAAATTTATAAAATCAAAGAACGAATCTTAAAAAAAATCTGAGTGAATATATTATTTTCGTATTTTGTGCATACTCATATTCATTTTCAATTTTAAACTTATTTACACCTTGTACAGACCTTGTGTGCATCTAATAATAATTGAACACAAGGAAAAAAATTGTTTTATTTTTACACTCTATAGCTTAAATTATCTTTTTCATATTGTGTTTGTGGTTTATCATAATTTTCTGGACTTGTTCGTTCATTTGGCTGGCTCATCTCTTCATCGGCAGATGTATTTTCACCGATTTGTTCAACTTCGATGTATTCATCGTCATCGTCTTCCGCATTGACATCATTGGAATAATGTTGACCTTCGGATTTCATATCCGTTTCGGAATGTTTGTCCTTGTCGCTTTCATTATCATCGTTCATATCTTTCAAATGTTCGTGATTCAATGGAATTTGTTTCGATTCATCTGTGTCCGTCGCATCATCTCGGTGTGGCGTTGCAATAAGGCCAATTTCATGATTGATCAGATGATTCTCAAGTTCAGCTCGAAAATAGAATTTCTTTGCACACAGATTACAGTCATATGGACGATAGCTTGCACCATGCTCAACTCTGATATGTTGATGTAGTCCACATGGCAGAGTGAAAATTGCCGAACATATATAGCAATTGTAGCCACGTTCTTCACAACCTCGAAATGAGTGTTCAATTAAATGTTCTTCTAATGCGACCGCCGTCAAAAATGGTTTTTTACATAAATTGCAGTAATGCTCCGTTATTGAGTCGGCATTCGATTTGGATGGACAGTCACTGGAAAATGAATTGCTTTCCTTTGGAAATGCATACGATGAATGTTTACTGTGATTGTTGTGTTTTTCATAGCACTTTTTGCATACTTTCGATTCAGATTTTGGCGGTAGCTCGATTAAACACAGTGCACAATTGCGTTCGTTGTCACTATCACCGGACGTGGAACTCACATGGAATCTATATTTGGAGAAATTATCATTCCATTAATATGTGAAAATGCAGTTTCTTTTGAATACGAAAATTAATTGAACCTACTTAGCGTGTAATTGAATTTCAAATGCTGAACTTAAAGTTTGACGACAACAAATACATTGTACTGGCAATTCAACGTTTCCATGCTCAGCCATATGAGACTTGAATTCTTGAATATCCATTAAATTTGCAGAGCAAAATGTACATTTGCCTTGGACACCAACTCTAGAATGAGTTAGCTTGTGCTCAGCAAGCACATCTGCCGATGGAAAAATTTCATCACAAATTAAACATTTGTGTTTACCTCCGGTATGCGCCGTTTTCATATGAGTTTCCAATTCGGTTCTGTGTGGAGAAAAAAGAACATTTATTGTATTTATTGGACAAATTGCAAACAATATTGAGTGCTTTTTAAAACAATACCTTGAACGAAAATTGTCATTGCAATAGGCGCACATTAGGCTAACGCCGGTTTTGATGTTGTGTGTAATCTTTTGATGCGTTATCATTTCCAATTCGCTTTGGAAATCTTTGCGATCGCAAATGTTGCATGATATTTGTTGATCGGAAGAAGTCTTTTTATCGGTATATTGTTGTTGTTGCGGCGGTGGTGCTGGTGGTTGCTGTTGTTCTGAAGTGCCATTGTGTGAATCGATTGAAGTTGGTGGCAAAAAAACCAATGGATTATTTCTCAAAAATGTTTTCGACACATAATCCGATTTGTATAAATTCAAAAACGATGGAATCTCGGCCGAGTGCTCGCTAAATTGTTTCGTAAATGCTTGTGTATTTTCTAAGTGTTCCGAAAATGATTTGGTTATATTTGAAAAATTTTTTGTAAAACTTTGTTGCGAAAATGATTTCCCAATGTTATCATAAAGTTCATATAGTGGCGGTGGTAATTTCAGTGGTGACGTTGAACTGGAAGGTATATTCATGGGATCAAACATTTTGGTCGGTCCAGCAAATGGATAGAGTTTCTTTGCGGCATAGCTATAGTCGAACATATTATTGTTAAGATTATCGCTTTTATACAGTCCCAATGCATCCTTTTCGGGAAGACAATGATGCGTTTGCATGTGTCGTTCCAATAGAAATTCCATTGGAAATGCTTCAGAGCATACGGTGCATCGGAATGGTTGACGCGAATGTGTTGCCATATGAAAGTGCATTTCTAATTCAGATGAACAAACTGTTCGGCACAGAGAGCATTGCAAATTTGGCAATAAAAACATCAACGAATGTTGGGTCCGAACATGAGCCTTAAATTCATTTTCCGTTTCAAAGGAATCCATACATGCCGAACAACGAAATGTGTCCTCTTTATTCGAATGGGTCATCGCAAAATGAATTTGAATTGCAACTTTGGATTCAAAAATGTCATAGCAAATGCCACACTTCCACACATTTTGAGCGTGCACATCGAACATATGCTTTTGCATATTTTCAGAGCTAACAAAATGTTTATTACATCCAAATGTGCATGTATATTCGGTGGTGCTGATTAGAAAATGCGACGAAACATGCAATTCATATTCATTTTGATTGGTGAATGTGAGTCCGCATTGGAAACAGACAAAATTTTTCAGTTCACCACGCACTAAATGATTTCGCAAATGATCGCGAAACGCCTCGATGTTCGGAAGTATCAATGTACATTGGCTGCATCGCAATGGATCCGGACTCGATGCTGAATAATCTGGCGACGTTTTTTGAAGACGTTTTCGATTCACAATGGAATCGATGGAACTTTCTTTCGACGAATGATTCATATCATTTGAATCATCGCGGATTTCGGAACATTTTGCCTCGATCTTTTTATTACTTAAATCAGTTGGAAGATCTTCTTGCTTTATGTCACCATTTTCAATGGACTTTGTATGCGCATCATAATCGTTGGAATTTTTACTCGGTGTGTCACGTTCCGTTTTTGATGGGTTTAATTCATATTTATGGGAATCCTCTTCCGATTTGGAACGTTCAAGTGGATGGACAAAACTATCGTTTGATTTACGGCGATAGTTTTCATCACCAAGTCCAATTGATCGTCTGCTTAAGTGCTCCATGTAAGACGTTGGATTGCTTATACGATCTATATGCATTGAACGAATGTGCTGAAACATACTGGGAATTGATGGAAATTTCATCGTGCAAAATTCACAAGTCAAATGAAGACCAGGATGGATGCCAGGAAAGGGGCTTGATGTTGTCTACATTAAAAAAAAAAACATAAATTTTTATATATTTTTAACACAATTGTTTGCATTTTGATTTACCTCTCTCAAGACAATTGCATGCATTTGCTGAACATGCGAGTGTAGTTGCTCCAAATTTTCAAAATCATTTTTGGTACAGTAGATGCAGTATAAGACAGAGCTGTTGTTGCCGTGAAATGCAAAACGTTTTGCATTGACTGCCAAAAGTGATGACTGATTTGGGATATCTCGTTGCTCAATTTGTGATGAGTATTTTCGTTTGTACAGACTGGTGTTACTCGAAGCCGAACCTGTGGATCGTGGGCTATTTGTTTTAGAAAATAAAACGACAAATAATTTGAGATATTAATGCTTCGTGTCAATACACTGGCTCACATGATCACCGTCAATAAATCCAATCGGAATTAATTTTGGCAAATAAGTCGCATGCGTTGCGTTGAAAACGCGCATAAAGTGTTTTTCTCCTCGTGAGACTTTCCTGGCATGTCTTTGGTATCTTTACCGTGCAGATTTCTTTTTATCGTGCAAATGGCACTGCAATGACACTAAATACACACCTTGTACAACATATTTATGTACTAAAATATTCGAGTGGATTTATCAGCGGCACCGATTCAGCGATGATGCTTTTGCAATTTCTAACCTGTAATTCAATGTAGTATTTCTCTGAAGAGCTGCTTGCTTTTTGTGGCTTTGCATGTGTGATGTAAGCGCAGCAGCCGTATTATAGCCTCGATTACAAACCGTACATTGAAACGGCTTTTGATTGTCATGCGTCTTCATGTGTATTTTCAAATGATCACTAATAAACAGCAAATAAATGTTCATTCAATTAATATTCATCAAGAATAAATAATAAGAAGAATAAAAAGAATGTGAAATAAGTTGATATGTTCATGCATTAAGTAGACAATTAAGCGCAAAAGAGGCTTATAAGAATCGTTCAGCATTTTCAAACACTTAGATCCAAATATATTTTATTATCCCGAAATATCCGTCCTCAAAACAAAAACAAAAAACTAGAAAGTATGGTAAATGTGATTGTGTGCAACTTTAATGTTTATTACAAACCCGTGCTGATAATAAAATGAAGGAGAAAATCGTTCAAAATTGTGATGTGAATTGTATATGTAGAAAATCACCTTCTTGAAAAAGCTGATTCACAATGCGGACAGCGGTAGCGCCGATCTCCCGTATGTAGTTTTGTGTGTCGATCCCGTGACCTTTTGTGCTTGAACAATCGTGCGCAATATTCACATTTGAATGGCATGTGCTCTGCATGACTCTGAAAACAATTAAAAGCAGAATATAGAGGTCAAACATTGACAGTGTCCAAAAAGTGTTCGTACATTTTTATTTTCTTCATCTTTTTATTTCCAAAAAAAAAACAAGCTCTGTTAAGTGCGATAAACAACAACAAAAATGACAAAGAATCATGATGAAAAAAAAACTCAGATGAAGAAAATAAAGCACATAAAGCACCAGTGAAACAATGGTAAATTTTTGTGGAATGGCACAAAATGGGCAGTAGCAATTTCAACGACACAATTAATTCAGATTCTAGAAATTACAGTTTTCTTATCCTTTTGATTTCGCTTTATGGTGTTTGTGCTTACAGCGCAACCCATACGTTCAAGTCTCAGTTCATTTTCATATTCATTTTTTGTAATTTAATTTACAGCCTGCTACAGGTCATAAAGCTATTTTAAAAAAATATATGCACACACAAATACCCGATTATAACGTTCAAATAACAAAAATAGTTGTTATACATGATGCATAACAAACATGTTGATACAAGATAAAACAATGGCCTCGGCCAAAAATTAAGTGAAACAAGCAGGACGCCGCGCGAAAAAAAATGAGCATTGCGCAGCTTCAATTTGGCTCTTATGAAATAAATTCAATGAAATCTGAAGATGAAACCGTGCGACACCTCAATTGAAACAACCGCATATTATATTTCACAACCGGACAAAATACGTTACCTTTTTCTTGAAAATGTGTCTCTTTCGTGTGTTTTTTTTTTTTGTTCGTTTGGATATATTATTCCATTGAAAACGTGCGTAAAACCTAACGTCTCTTCGCACGTTTTTGTCTACACATTGAACAATTCAACTTCTAAAACAATTAAAAACAATAAATAAATATCAAAAAATCAGTTGATGTGTGGAAAGAAGGCGCTGAAGGAAACACGACAAAAGAATTAACAGTATACAACTCTGAACATATCATCGCATACGATATACTAGTGTGGTTAATGATAATGAAACGAGAGAGAAAAAATGCACTAATTGTTGTGGTGCACATCGTTTCACTTCATGCAACGGCATTTATCTACCATTTTTTCTCTCTCTTCTTGAATCGTTCTTTTGATTTAAGATCTGCAACACAGATAATTATTGAATTCTTTTATTGCATTGATATTTCTTTTATCGCAAACGATTTGCACAAGTTATTTCTTGATATTATTGTAAACGATATCGATACATCTTGACTCTCGCCACTAACACAGAATATGCAATACTTTTTTATGTGACTTGATTCGAAGTGAATTTAATAGAGTGGTACGTTTTTGAGTTGGTCGTTTTTTGTTTTATTGACGTGAATCTAATTTGCTTAGAACTCTTGACTGGCATTGAAATTGTGTACAGAATGCTTAATGAACATATGCTGAACAGGTGAAATTAGATCTCACCAAATTTTCACTTGGCCGTTATTCATGAATTCGATGGCCTGAGAGTTTGTAACATCAGTTTAATCAATTAAATATCAATATGGATGAAATAGTTTGGAGTTGAAGTAGTTTAAAAGAGCTATTCCTTAATTTTACAAAGTTAGTGATAAACTTTTCTAAGTAAACTCAAACTCAAATATTGGTAATTTAAAATTCCGATCATGTCGCATTTTAAACTTGGGACTAACACGAATCATCCAAAAGTGTACTTCAGTTTAAAAGAAGGTGTACCGCGGAATTGTTGGAAGTTCAACGATTGGAATTGTTGGTAGATTTGTTGACGATGCTCTTAAGATTCTAGTAAAAAGAGAAAATTGACTAATTTTGTAACTTTACTTGGTGTATACTCTTTATTCCTACAAAAAGATGAAAAACAATACCAAAAACCAATTTTTCTAATTCCACAATTGAACAAGAGAAAAATCAGTCAATAATTCCACCAATTCTCGTTTTTCTTTCTATTTAGTTCTGTTTGAGTCAATTTAATTAATTCCAAATAGATTTTTTGAGACTGTTTCAGGATGAACGAAAGCAATGCATTCGCTCCACCCTACAACGTGGTTGAATATTGTCCATTTCTTTGACGAAATGGCATCACAGATAAATTTTCGGTATTATTTCCAAATTCATCTCATAGTTTTCTATATCGATAAAAAATAATTAACCAAATCGAAATTTTCATTAATATTCCACCTGTTCTAAGTTTTCTGTTGTGACAAAAAGAAAAGATAAACAAAAACACGCAAAGAATGTCCCTTTTGTCAAGTCTTTTATATGCGTGAAAAATTCAAGAATGATGTTTCGAAAAAAAAAGTCAATGCACAGATGAGTGAAGATGATGTGCGCTCCAAACACCCATTCTGTATTTCAAAATTATTCATTTATTTGCAGAATTTTTTGTGTGGAATTTGTCTTGATATCACCTTCTAGGGCAAGAAAATGACGACTCTCATATATTATTACTTGTTCGTTCGTTTTTTTTTTCATCTTGTGCTCGGAGCTCAGTGTTTGTATCTTGTTGCTTTTTTTATATTTTTATTCAACACTTTATGTGGCAAGTTTGAGTTTCTGTTCAATTTAATTTGGCGATGATAAAATGTATGAGCACAAAAGTACATAGAACTCTGTTGATTTACGAGAATGTCAAATTCATCGATGAGTTGTTCACGTGACATTATACACGCAAATGCATCAACAAAATGTTGAATGTTTGGCACTATGTATTGTTTTATCATCACACAAATAGTGTGCGTTGATTGTCATATCAAATTATTATCATTTATGTGAATATGATCGACGTTTTCCTCAGGGTTTCCTCCCCTCCTCCTCCTCCTTCCTCTCTTTTTCTGCAACAAAATAAGCAACAGTTTGAGTATTTATTCAAACGTGCAAACATGCAAACATATGAACGTATATAATCAATTCGAATGCCAGGTATAATCGAATAAGTACAAGTGTGAAGCAGAAAACATATATGTCGAACGGTCTTCTTCTTTTGTTTTGGTCTGCTATTGCGCTCCGACCATAAAACGTAACACAAACGATTTTTGATCGCACCGATCTGTGTGTTGAAAGCGAAAAATAAAATAAAAAACAAAAACTAAAAAAAAACGCCGAAATGGAAAAAAAGAGAACGATATGTGACCAAAATACATAATAAATCGTTCTGTAAGTCTTTGTCTTGTTTAAATTCACATTTTGTAAGATATCGTTAAATAATAAAGCTACTGCATATATGCATCATTCCATTATTCACGTTTGATGTGTAGATGACGATAATGACGCGCTTGATGAGATTTTGTACGTTTGATAAATGTTGGTTGTGTTTTTTTTCGTGTGCGGATCGCCGCGACAAGGAAATTTCAATGTTTGCACAGCGCCTAACCATCAAAATAAACTAAAACGTACGTTTTTACGAGGTCGCGCCAAGCGTCGGGGCGAATGTTTTCAAACCCATTTAGATTCTTAAATTTTAATTTTTCAACATAAATTCATTTAGTATTTTCTCACATTCAATACACACTTTTGTTTTAACGCAATTTTGCCATTGAAATATTGTCTCTCTTTTTAACCCGAATCTTCCGACGGTCACCATATGAATACAGGATTTGGGCTCATTGATTGATTGACGGTCATATGTGATAACGATTTTTAAAGATTGAGGATGCGTTTATTATTATTTTTTTCGGTTTTTTGAACTCAATTTCCAGAAAAGTATGCCATAGAGTAAAAAATACATAATAATAACCTGACAAACAAATAAATGTGATACGCAAATCTATACGCGATTTACTTTGTAGTTTTCGGGTATTTTTTTGACCAGATGGTTTATTCAAAAGCTAAGCGATAATGTTTTCAATTTTGTCAATAGAACATGAAAAGTGAAATCTTTTCAAACCAAAAAGTTAATTTTAAAAAAAATATATATTTTTTTTTAATTCAATGAAAACCGCTCAGTACGTTTCGGGTTAATAATAAAAAGCTTAAAACATTTTAAGAGCTAGACGTTTTGATCTGCATGCAATGAGTTCATTACTCACTCACCTGTTCGTGTTTTTTAAGATATCCCAGGCGTGGAAACGATTTATCACAAAATTGACAATGATAAGAGCCTTCGACGTTATTATTAGTCGCGTTTGACGGTAATTGTGGTGTTGTTCCATTAATTTTACCATATTTTGCAAGTCGGCTACCTTCCCCTTTGCTCTTAGTTGCTGTCATCGTTGGTTGTTTGCTATGTATTTTTGACGATGGTTTAAAAGTGTTGTTAATCGGCGCGTAGGCAACCCCTGCTTCAGACGACAAACGTTGAGCATCTTTCAATGTTGGTGCTATTTCTTCGCCATGCTTTTCATTCGATTCGGGTAATATGTTCTCATTTATGCCGCCGTTCTCGAAAGAAGTGTACTCACTATGATGCTGTTGTTGATGTTGTTTCGCTGTGATTTTATTATTGTTATTAATGCTAAGAATATTATCCACTTCGAAATTTGGAGTTGATGCCATGTCAGGAAGTGATGGTGAATAGCTTGGTGATGTATTTGATGAGTCAATATCTACTGTCGTAAACAAAAAAAATGTAGGGAAAAGAGTACAAATGAAGAATCATTTGAGTTAAGGAAGATACAATTTACACTTAAATCTAAAAAAATACATAAAACAATGAATTGGAATGGAAATTGGAAATGGAAATCTCTCGTGAGTGTGTCAAAAATTTGAAAAACCAAATCCTTAAAATGTTCGATTGGTAAAAAAGCGGATTTCACAAATATATTCACATTCAAATAAATTCAACGTATCCATCAATATATATATGGCTGAAATGATTATGATCTCATTTAGCAATTCACATTCATTTTGCTATTGATGTACATATTTCACTCTTAAATCAATGCGTTATGCGCTTGTGGCATCTAATGCATGTATGGCGTATTGGAATAAAAGTGCGAACATTTGTAAATTGATAATGTGCTCGCTTTTAAGGGTTACCCCATCATAAATTTCATTTCATTTGCGGTGTGTGATTCTACCCTCTTCTTGAAAATTGTTATACTTGATCCGGTGTGTCTACATTTGCCAATTTAACGCAAATGGTGCACACCGAAATCGTTTCTGCTCTCTGTTTTTGTTTTTTTATTCGCATATGTGTATTCTTCTTCTGGTTAGAATAAAAAATGGAACAAATTTAAACAAAAAAAAACATATACTATAATCCCCCAAATGTGATGATGCCACGAATAATGAGAATAAATGAAATTCGACCAGACAACAAAATATATTATTTTTCATCAATCACAATTTTCGCTGAGCAAAAAGTGCCAAAACCAAAACGAGAATAAAAATAACACAGCATTTATATATATAAGCAAAAATAGAAGAGAAAAAACTCGTCTTGACTTGAAGAAGCTAATGAATCAATGATATAGTACTACATAATGCTTTTCATTCACTCGATTTGTGATCCGATTTTTTGTCAACCTTTTTTTAACTGAATCAAAATGACGAAAGAAAGATATTTTCGAAGAAGTGAGATGTGAACACTTTTTTCGCTCATGCAGAACTTATTCCAATGAAAATCAGTTTAATCCATAAAATTCGAATGAATATCATGAAATTCGATTGTCAAATTCACTGACAAATCCATTTTTCCTTTTGGAAAATATTGAATATTTATACATATTAACTTCGGAAATAAAGTGTCAACTGTGTCATACCAATTTTGTATATATTTCAGTTTCTTTAAGACAACGATGCATTGGATTTTCGATTCATTGCATATGGTATGGACACATTGTGATAGTGTATTGATTTATGTTCAGTTTGTTGTTATCGTTGATCGTTTGCTACACCTTACTTAACACCGATTGCAACGTGAATTGAGTGAAATGTTTCTTTTATAGAAAAACTTGAATCGATTGCCACCCCAATACAAATTAACAGTAGCAAGTCAACAACAATTGTCTAAAACCGCTTTTGTAGTTGTTTACAATTAATAGAGTATGTAAGTTATGTGTTTTACAATGAAATATGTATTAATTGTGCCTATTGCGGTAAACGGAATGAAGTATTCGTCATTTAGCAATTAAGACAATTACAATATTAAATGTACGCGCACTTGCCGGTCATATCATTCAAACCGCTCCTATCATAGGACGCAATGGCCAATTCTTAATAAGCAACCGGTGATAAATACAAGAAGATGAAGGAAAAAAATATATATATATTGTCATCAATAGAGATTACAGTGTGAATACATCGCAATCCATGGAATGGCTCTTCTTTGGATATCGGACGTTAAAGTGGAATGCAAACGGAAAACAAATGTTGAATGTGTATAAATTTTATATATGCTGGTTTACACAAAATATTTGAGAGAGTAACTTTTGTTTCAATATTTTCTTCCGTTTCAAATTATATCATGCCTTAATCTCGATTTGAAGTTTGAAAGTGGGTGAATAAAATTATCACAAATAAAACAGCAAGTTAAATTGTCGCGTGCACAATTGTTCATTTAGTTAAATGTTATATATCGTTTTATTTTCTCTATGCAAGATCTGAAAAGGATTGGTGGCGGAAGCGCGATGCCAACATTTCGAAATCGACTCATTCGGATTTGGTTCGAATGGCATTTTTTTTTTTAATTTGATTAATTTTAAATTGAATTAAAAGTATTTGAAAAACCAAATTCATCAATCTTCTAATTTTTTTATAGTTTAGAATTCAAATGAATTAATGTTCAATGAAAACATCTTTGTTTGTGCCCTTATAAATAGAAAAAACCACAAAGAAATTGATTCGGTGGATTAATTATTAAAATGTGTTCTGAATGAAAAAAAATAGAACGTCCGACTGTCAATCTTTTGAGTCATCTTTTGTTTGTTCATTGCTCGTGTTTATTGTTGACGAATTTTCGTTGGAATTACTACGATATTCATATTACCACCAATTAATATGCGCCTCCATTTCGCGTGATTGCTCTAATAAAGCAGCGTCCAATAACACTAATTAAGTCAACTTCCTATGTGCCACAGAAGTGACAATTAAATCTGCGTTTCAATGCAAGTCTCTATTCTATATTCTTAACAACGCTACTAACGTTCGGGTGTAAAAACCATTTGATCATAGCACCATATCATTTCGGAAGCATTACCTACATTTGCCACACACACAAAACATAAATGAATAGTGGCGTTGCATGCAAGTTGATTCTAGGCTTTAATTTAATGATGCGATCTACCGTTCTTTCCTTTGTTTTAATTGAATTTAATAGCAGAGGAGCATGATCGCATACACGAGAAATGCGATCATAAAAACTGAAACTAAATTAAGATGAATACATTCTTCTGAATGGAAGCATAGGCGTTTCAGGATATATTCAATTAGGCCGTAAATTGTATTCAATCAAACTTCGTGAATTCTATGCGGTGAAACATTTGAAAAAAGAAGATGAGAAAACTAAGTGCGAAATTGAAAACATTGACTGATACATTACATTTTTTTTACTACGATTTCGTATCATTTTCACACCGAACATTTATGCTTGAATTTATCTTGGTGACTCTTTTCTTTAAGTGGAATCTTGTCGACTTTTAAGTTTTGAATTCAAAAAGATATACGACCAACATCGATTTATATCGAAAATACTTTATAGAGTACGATTCAGCCAGAAATCAAGTGAACTTTAAAATAAAATGAAGTCAATTATTGTGAAATATTCTCTTTTTTTAGGATAAAGCGAAAATACATAGAACAATAATAATACGTTCTCACTTGAATATCTTAAGAACATTCTTTTATCTTGTTGTACGAGTTTGAGAAAAATTCATATAGATACGCATAGATCGCATTTTAATTTAATTGCTCTTCATTTTTTAAGGTGTAATACAGACAAATTTATCGGCCGAATTTTGCATCAAATCATTATTTCGCTCATATAGATAGTGAATATTTGATTCTGCATTTTGGTTTCTTGAAAACTTGTCATCAGGATAGTTCTACACAAGAATTTCATTGAATTCTTTTTCTTTTCCCTGTTTTTCTTTCATTTAATGTGATTCACTTTTATTCTTGAATTGCACTTTATGTGTGAAAAATGTATAAACATGTAAAAAAGTTTACCCAAAAATTGTCATTTTGACGATATTTTATCAACTACATAAAAAATCTTTTAAAAATGTTGCTCAAAAAATCTGTGTGCATATTATGAATCAGAATTTATTCATTCAACACCGCCAAGAATTGGCTGACCGTTTATTAGTTATTTCATTTCGCGTTTTCCACTTTCACCTGTGCGATACTTGATGCGGTGGAATGTTTTTTTTTTTTGCAAGGATTTCCTTTTAAGATAAAGCAAAGTATCTGTTCTACACTATATAAATTCATGTAAATGTTTTGTAGAGTGATTTGATGTACAGTGATTTGTTGTGAAGTGAAACAGGAACATAATTTCATGTGTTTCAGTACAGGTGTGGCTCACTAACAAACACTTTAATTTTCACTCATGTACTAACCAAATCTAATATTCAAACAATTTCGCTAAAATACTTATCAATTGGTTTTAAATAAATTCCACAAATTGTTATTGTAATGGTTGTAAATGTCAATTTATCTATTCCTTTATCAACATTTCACAAGTCAAGTGGTAATTAATGTTGTGCTGTGCTTATAAGAAATATTCAAACTTCGTACCTGGGCTGCTGTCTTTGTTCTGTTGAATTTTTTCAATAAGTGTTTCAAGTCGTGAGCTCGGACCACGGTAAAGCATTTTTAAAGCCATAATAAGTGTGTGATCACCTTACTTTTGTTTGTCATTAAAATTGTATTGTATCATCAATCACTGTGTTAATTAATTTCAAAAAAAAAAAAAATAGTTCAAATCACAATCACTATCACTTTATCGATCAAATGCACAAAATTTCGTATTTGCATTCAACTTTTGTGGGCTGGTCTCACCGGATAGTTTAAACAATGTACGTAGTTCAAAAGTTTTCTTTTTTTGGTCACAAATTCAAAATAATAAATAAATCGCAGTGAAATGTAACGATATCAGCGCATAACAAATTTTAACAAACTATTTAAAAAAAAAAACAATCAATAAGTGATCACCAAGTATCAAAGCACATTCATCATAATAGATGTGAATATATACATATAATTCTGTTGAAGGAAGAAGGTGAAATAAGAAAGGAAAAAAAACTAATGTTGAACGCGCGAACACCAAAGTGTGACTGACTCTACTGGGACGCTGGCGCCTTTCTATATACTAATAAACGTGTTATACATACGGAGAAAAGAATCTGGCTTCACATTTTACGCTTTGACTGCTACCGTAAAGCGTTACACATGAGCACTGCTCTGCATCATAGATTCGTATGTATGGTGGTATCTTCAAAGCGGTAGGCATATTCAAACAGTAGCGCGGACAACGGTAAGCATTAGTGATTCGTTTGAAATGCAATGGTCTTATAGGAGCTGCTGTTATCTCCACAATAACAATAGGTGGACAATGAAAGAATATATCACTTGAAATAGGGTAACATTTGATCAACGAATTGGACATAAGACACGCATAATCTTCAATAAGATTAACAAAAGACTTGTTTTGAATTTTAGCTCGTTTAGTTTGCATGAATTGTAACATTAATATTACAAACTATTTAAAAATTCAAGCACATCGCCTTCAAATGAACGTCATCGTGTCATACCCATACATTTCAGTTTAATGGGTGAACGGAGATCGTGCCGAAGTTTCGTAAAGAAAACAAAATTTATCCAAAAATTCCAAACAAAGTCGTCTTTCATTCATTAAAACCAATTGTACGTAGTAAATGTCACCAAAATGTTCGTTGGTAAGTTTTTCAAAATACCACAAATTACATTTCGTTAAATAATATTAAGTATTGCATAGACTTTTATAAACATTTATACATTAATGATTGGATATTCTTATCTACTATTAAATTAAAACTGGAATACAGGAGAAAAATATCAATATAGAAAATCATGAAGTGATATCTTTTTAAAAAAATATAAAAAGGCACCAAAAATGTTTGTGATTGTCAAAAGGCATTAGATTATTGGTTCTGTGTATAATGCACATTGAACAGCGCACTGTACAATATAAAATTAACAACTTTAACAGTGCGCGCTGTTGTTACCACTCCTCTTTCGGAGGCGGAGCTTTAGCCACTGTATCATGCGGCTATCATCAGATTGGTTGGAAAAACTCTATATTTGTTTATGCTGGCTGCTATAGAAAATAACAAAAAAAAATATACCGACAATAAGCACCGTTGCTTTTTCTCTCAAATGGCACGATGTGTTAAAAAAACCTACAGATTCGTTGACATTTTGTGCCGAATAAATGTTTTTGGATTTGAATGTTGTTCGGTTATTAATTGATAGAATATTTGATGGAATCGTGGTGAGCGTTGTATTTGTTGAAAGGTTCATGAGGCGAGATTGGGTAAAATGGGTACAGTGTTAATTCTCATGATATGGTATTTTCAGAGAATTTAAGTTTCCATTTTTTGTTTATCTGTTTGTGTGGGTGTGTGTGCTCGATGAAATTTTTTTTATTGGCCCAAAAATTTTGAATAAATTTGACAAGTGTAAATGAATTCAATATTCATTTCACTTATAAAATAACCCCAGCATTAAATTGATACATGTTCCACTTATAAGATATAGACATTTATTTTGTGTTTGTTCATTACGTATCTCATAATCGGATGTTGTTGATAATATCGCTGTGGTTTTGGTGTGCGGTTGTATGTGTATGTGGTTTTGCATTGATTTTTAATTGGGACGTTGAAATGGTTGCAAACGGTTCAGTGAAAATTTGTGAACGAACATTGTTTTGCCATCTTTCTTCGACAGTTTTTCTTTTGGAAATGTTTCGCGATTTAGATCCTTTTTCACTTATATAAAATGTTGAATAGGGCAAAAGTCACGCTATCTAACGGAAGCTCTATTTCAATTTCAGAATTGAGGGCAAATACACAAATAAATCTGCTCTAATTTATTTGTTTGATTATCTTTTGTGCGCCTTTTTTCGGTTGTGGACGATCTCTTCTTTTGTTAAGGTACATCACTTTTGTTCTCTCGCTCTCGCTCTCTACCACTTCATGGCACACCGATTAGACCGGCAACCGAATTGGTTTCGGTGCTTTTGTTTAAAAACAGACATTACATAAATATCCGGTTACTTTGTTCGAAAATGTTTCATGTTGTCAAATTGACGATTGATGTACATTTTTGAGATTTCAATTTGGATTAATTTATTGAAAATAGTCATTTCTCTCAATTTTGATCAAAATCAATATAACTCTGATTAAAAATTACCAAAAAATGGTGCTAAATTTATCATTAGAGAGAACGAGAGATCCACATTTTTTTTCACTGTGTCCTTCGTACGTACTATTTTCATGGAATTTTTTTTTATAAATAATTTAGAGGCGATTAAATTATGTCGTGTGATTTGCTTGTCACAACCGTGTGTCAAAGAAAATTTTCTTTCGATTTGCACCATTTTATGTCAAAGCTTCCACGCAAGAAAACGTTCATCAATCTGTGGATGACATTAACAATGGTATTTTGCATGACCGTAGTCCAAAATGGATTGATTGTTATGGAGAAAATGTGTTAGGTGGATCACTTCGCGTGTGACACACACAGATATATTCACAAAAACTCTCTACCTCTATCGAATACATTACTCAAAAACATGAAATATTTATGCACAAATTCAAGTAAATCTACATACATTATGAACGAATGCGGACGAATCGTTGGCGTCACTCACATTCAAATTTAAACAAACAAAAAAAAAAAATAACGGGATAAATGCACAACAATCAAAGTTGGCAAACATTTGTTGAAATGCTATCTCTCGCCTATGTTCACAGCAAATAAAAGAGACTGAAGACCAAAAAAAGACACTCACACACACACAAACAAGGCAAAACAAAAGGTCGAACAGACCAACACATTTTAAAAACGTCACTCTTAATTTCAGTAGCCGAACCGAGACAAATACATGAATAGTGCTTTTAGTAGATATTGAATCGCACCACTTTTTAAGTGGTACAGGGACCGGCCACATGCATACGAACACCGTTGAAATTCACATACTGAAAAGAGATCCATAGAGTGCCAATGAACATCACCATAAAACAGTTTGCAGTATGCTATACGAATATCATTATTTAATCCATCTCTATTTCGGCTGCATTCATTCGGTTCCACTTGCATCAACAGTTTTCGAGTACCAAATAATGCCAAATGACGTTGTTTTATCCGTTAATTTATCATACGTGTAAATTTTCGGTGACACCGAGGATGGGGTTGAAGTGCTGAAAATCCATTTAAAATTTTATGCGCGCGGGAAAAAGCATTCACACAAAATTCAACACTTTGAATGTCCAATGTACTACGTTCTTTATTCAAATTTCAAATGATTTTTGAATTTTGATATTATGTGTGCAGTGCACAAAATATCGGCACACACATAAATGTATATTTGAAAGACAAATTGTGCATAACGTCACATAGGGTATTTTGTGATATAATTAATTTTAGCCACAATCAATGATTTTCAATATTTTGTTTCGCAAAAGCAATAGCTATGCAGATTGTGACTGTTTGAAGTCAGGAAAATATAGTTGTACTTCATTTTAAGTTAAAATCTATTCAATGTTTGATAAATAAACGAAATAATTTTGATGACAAACCCATGAATAAACTTTGCTATTTAAAATGAGTTGATACCTCAGTTCAATTGTCATTATCCATTTTTATGAATTTTCACTTGATCTATTCTATACAGTCAAATTTTACTTTGGAATTTAGCTTCAATATTTATTTGAATAAAATTTATCATTGTTGGTATGGTTAATAACTATGGAAATTACAATAAGATTGCTACAATGATAACCGCATCTCTGGTAGTACTTGATGTATCATCAAGCTTTAAAAGCGTTTTTGGTTTGTTTGTTTGTTTGTGACACGCATAACTCAAGCAGGATATAAGCCATCAACTTTGAACCTAGTTTATCCTGGTCCGTCCAATGATTTTGTCTTGAATTGCTCTGCTTATGGCTCTTGAGATGCTCTTTCGAAAAAACATAACTCGATCAACCTGTGACGATTGGCTCTAGTAAAATAAACTACCAAATTTCTCTGTATTTTCGCAATAAATAAACAAATTGCTCAGTATTTTGTCTACTTCTGATATAAATGTTTGAATAGTTCTTTTGAAAAACCTCTTTTTAAATGACATTCACCAAACTGTGAGTGAATATTGATATTTGAAATGTGTAAGTTACGTAGCGCATAGATCCATTCGAAAATGTTGAAAAAATAAATCGGTTGGATTTGGTTAAAAACACTGTTGAATCGTATATAAGTTACCAAAGCAACTTTCACAAGTTTATAGTTGAAAGATTCAAGTAAAATGCGTGTAATTACCAGTAGCTAATTTGGCAGAGGCGTGAAATTGATGTGATTCATTTCTACCTCTGTTCGGAATGAGTTGTGGGAATTTTCAATCGAATGTGAAACACCTTCAACGAACAACAACACCTTTCATGAATGAAGGGAAAATTGAGATATCCAACGATTGCCTCGAATAAAGTTGTGGATTAAGGTTGTACGCTAATAAAATTCCATTGTTTTATACCTGATAATAATGACAATGTGCTATTTTCAACCACACACGCCGAAACGCACGTATTCATCATACATATTTCATGTACATAAAAAAATATATTATGCACATTCTCGGAAATTTGGGAATTGGACACGTGCTCCCAATGTTTCTATATTCAACATCTATATAAACAGGAA